GGAGAACAAGATGGATGATACAGGTGGGATCATCTCAGAGACAGGATTATGAAAGAACGAGTTTTCTCAAGCCCAAGGATGGAGATGCAGGAGGGACCTTGGGAGGATCAGCGTTGGCCTAGATTGGTTGTGCCTCTATAGAGATTCACAGGGAGAAATCCATGGGAATTCAGACTCCATTGTTCTAAGTAGGCCCAGGCTTCTGTGAGTCAGAAAAGAAGGTTAGAAGTGGTATAAATACAGCCATGTCTCCATGATTGCTTCCCTGTTGGGAGCCCCATTATAAGTCAGTCCAGTACCCTATGACCTGTGGACAGAGACTGATTCACATCCCAATATGTCAGTTCACACACAAACTTTCAGGAACACGTCTAGTAGACGAAGTCAGGCATGCTTTCATTCTAGAGGAGCCTAGAAATGGGGCTCATTGTGCCCAAGGAAACCAGAGAAGCTTGCAGAGAAATAAACGTTGAAGCAGTTGTCTCTCAGGGTCATGACAGCAAATCATGGAAATGTGTTTTTTCATTTCCTCATGTTCCACTGCTCATGTGCTACACAGCTGTGATTTATTTTCAGAGCACACTTTGGAATTTGACAGACCTTCATACTGGCCCGCTTCACAGCTGAAACCATTTGCCATTTGGTAGATGAGAAAGCAAGTGACAATTTACACTAAAAGGGCTGTAAAAAGATACTGTCTGTGAATGAGACAGACAGACAGGTGTCAAAAACCCAAAGCAACAGAGAGCATAGGACCAGCAAAGCTCAGGTCTCCTCCGCAAAGCTATGACCCTTCTAAGCTGAGCTCCTGGCCTCTGGTTGGAGTAGAGTTTTGGAGTACACACTGGGGTTAATGGTGAGTACATCAGCAGTAAGTAGGTGGTGGTTGCTGGTGGTGGTTTGGTGCTGTGCATTCTACAAGCCCTGGGGACATATGAGGAAAACACCTCTCAGGAGTGCTGCAGTGCTGAGGACAGCGGGCTGATGAGGCACAGTCCAGGACCACAAGTGCCAGACAATTCTAGGACAGAGTGGTAGAGCTGGCCCAGGATAGCACAGCATGCTGTAGGATGTGGACCAGGGAAGTGGCTGCCCTGTGTTGCACACTTTGTTCTTTTACCTCCTCCTCCATTTGGAACAGTGGGACCCAGGCACGGGGAGGTATCTTCAAGGCCCATTTGATTTGTGACAGGAACTCATTTGAGTATCACAAGGGGTGGTCTCCAGTCACTTTCTCACACTTACTCTACTTTATTGTTGTCCATAGCACTTACCTCCTTTCAAAAATCTATTCTATTTTAATTTATTCCATTTCATTCTGTTCTTTATTTTTGTTATTTCTCTTACCCATTAGAATGTAATGGGGCTGGGGATATAGCTTGGTTGGTAGAGTGCTCGCCTGGCATGCCTGAGGCCCTGAGTTTAATCCCTAACACCAAAAAAAAAAGAAAAAAGAAAAGAAAAGAAAAAGAATGTAATTTCTTTTGCCTGTTTCTTTATGCTTGAATCATTACCTAACAGGTTACAGTAGCTGATGGAATATTTATAATAAATGAGGTGAAATGACAAACAAAGGGAGTGGGCTGCTGAGGGCAGAGGGAGCTTCCAGAAGGCCCAGAGATGTGAGGAGCGAGTGTGTGGGGAGTAATGGGTTGACAGGAGCAGCCCGGGCCTGAGTGGAGCAGTAAATAGGCATTTGGTGAGAGGGAGGTATAAGAGTGAGCAGAGGCCAGCTTTCATAATTTTATATAAGGCTGCAGGATAGATTTCACTGGGACTTATCAGTGGAGAACATGAGAGGTTTTCAAGAAAGGGTGACATGACCATTTGTTTTAAGTCTGCCATGTGGATGTTTGTCTCCTGTGTGCAAACCACTTTCATGTAAACTGTCTATCATTTTGCAGAAGAAAACCTCAATGTCCAGTGAGGCTGACTGCCCAAGGTCTCAGAAATGATAGGAACATGATAAGTAGCAATGCAGAGGTCAAATTGAAGGGTGCAAAACCTTAGGAAGGGACATCCACCTTGTTGCAGCCATCCTTCCAGAAAAGCAGTCAGTAGGACAGACCTGAGGCATGATGCAGAGAAAGTAAGTGCATGGGCCAAAGGTGAATGGGAGGTACACTGACAGAATGTTAGTGACAGATCAGATGTTAGAGTGAGTGTTTCATGTTCTTTATATAATAAGCATTTGTAGAGCATTTTCTCTGAGCCATCCATAGTAGTCACATTGTAATATTAATTCATTTAATGCTCACAACAACCATCTAAGGAAAGTACTATTATTTCTTTCATGCTACAGATGTATCACAGAAATGTTAGGTAATTTGCCAAAAATCACACAGTAAGTAAGGGAGGCTGGTTATAAATATAGGTAGGTGAGCACTAGAATACATGCTCTTAACTGATAATTTCAAGCTTAAACAACTGAGTAGTAATGGTGCCAGTGACTAAGGTAGAAAATGTGATGAAAGACAAGTCTAGTTTTGGAGATATGGATTTTAAGTGTCTGTGAGATGCCCAAGACACAAAGAAACTTCCAAGAGAGGTCTATCTGTGTTTTTAAAAATAATAATGATAATTGATGATGCTTGTTTAAAATGGTAAGTAAGCTGGAAGTGTTGGCACATGTCTGTAATCCAGCAGTTCAGGAGTGTGAGGAAGAAAGATCACAAATTCAAACCAGTCTCCGCTAACTTAGCAGGGCCCTAAGCAATTCAGTGAGACCTTGTCTCAAATTAAAAAAAAAAAAAGGGTTAGAGATGCAGCTCAGTGGTTCAGTACCCCAATCCCTGGTACTAAAAGAGAAAAAAAGGTAAGAAAGACGCTGTTCAAGAGAGTCAGGGTAAAAGTACAGGAACTGTTGCAATAAGGTATTTGCCATTGGGTAAAGAGATCAGACTCGACTATGACTCCAACAAAAGACAAGTGGGGATTCAGGAACAGCGTGGGGTCACTAAGAGGAAACATCAGGGGTAGAGAGAATTCTTGCTAAACTGACTCAACAAAATTCTTGATAAAGTCAGGCTAAGGTGATAAGATATCAAGGGTGGTCAGTAATAAGGGTGAGGGACTTTTGCCAAACTCTGTTAGACAACTTCCTGTTATTATAACAAAATACCTGAAATAATTAACTTGAGAAAAGATTTATTTTGGCTTGTAGTTTTCGAAGTTATAGTTTAAGAATGCATAGATCCATATTTTGAGCCTCTGGTAGGGGTGCTGGATGTCCATATGGCCAGGCAGCACGTGGTAGAGCATACCACCTCCCCTAGTTATTGAGCCAGGAAGTAGAAGGAAGAGAAAGAGATTGGGCTCCCACAATCCCTGTTGTGGGCACATCCCTAGTAACCCAAGGACCTCCTACTAGGTTCCACCTCTTAAAGGCTCCACTGCCTCACAATAATACCACAATGGGGAAACATGGACCTTTGGAGAACACTCATCCAAACCATTGCACTGACCGAGCAGGAATCTTTCTGAAACCAGCTTCTTTGTATAAGTATAAAGAGGGAAGCCTGAGTGTAAGCCTAGACAGACGGGGGTTCCAAGGAGCAGCCTGACCACAGTTTTGGTCAAAGGAGAGAAGCCTTTGTCTGCTGGAGATGCTCATCTCCCTGTCATTAACATGTACGGGTAGTACAGTCAAGGATTACCAGGGGTTTATGGGAAACAGTGGAAAAGAAAAGGGCTAAGGCTCTGGGACTGCCAGCACTGTGGCCCAGCAAGGGCTGAACTGAGGAAGAGAAACCATCACCTTCAAAGGTGTCCCAAAGAGAGCCAGGTCAAGAAGAGAGGAGACAAGATGGAGAGGAGCTTAAAGGTATTTGTTAAATTTGACAACAGAGAGACCTGTGGCCTAGTCTAGACAGTATCCGTAGGACTGTAGTGAATGAAGGCAGATTGCAGTAAGCTGAGCCTTCGAGAGGAGTGGAGGTGCCGATGGTGGTGACTTGGATGGAATGCTCTAACTGCAGAAGGAGAAGGAGGGCAGGAACTTCATGGTCATCATATATTTATGTTTGCTTTTCTCCCTAAAATGAAAGAGATGTGATGATGTTTAGATACTGGAGAAAATACACAGTAGAGAATGGAGAAGCTAGAAATAACTGAGTGGAAAGAGGTTGGGAATGGAATAAAACCCCACTGGGGTGTGGAGAATACCCTGAGATACAACACTTTCTCCTCTGAGAGGGGAACAGGTGGGTGATGGAGGCAGGGGAGGTGGAGGAACAGATTGTATGCAGCAGTGAGAGATAAGATACTCAGTGAAGGCAACTAGATTTCGGACTCAAATTTCCACGTTGATGGCAATGTTATTGCTGATGTTCAGGGTGTGTTTTAGAGAAGTGGGTAAAGCTGCCTTTGAAGTATACAGTCAGATTCCAGTGGTGTAGGTCTAACCAACAAAGGAGATGGATGTTTGTTGCTAGAGGTATAGACATGGGGTCACCAGTCTCCAGAAGTGACCACCAAAACCTTGGAGTGGAAAAAATTGTACAGGGTACTGATGTATGAGAAGAAAAGGTGGCTGCGAGCAAAAGAGCACACAGGGAAAGAACAGAGAGTGCTGTGCAGGAAGGCAAGAGATGGCAAAAATTTTTGGAAAGGGATTAGTTGTGTAGAGCTCAGCAAGGCAGTTGGGAAAGTGCATATTACATTTAGCAATGAGGAAGTCATTGGTGACCTTGGCAATTGAATTTCCATGGAGAGGTGGAGGAGACAGCCAAACTGGAGTGACTTGAGACTATGGAATCTGACAGCAGAAATGGCGAAGTGTAGATTGTTCTGAAGAAAACAAGGCATTTTAAAGTATGTGGATTTCATCGCTCTCTTGAGTTTTCTGCCAAAGAATGTTGGGAATTCCAAGAAACAAACAATTTGTGCAGCCCCACTTGTCCTCATTGGCAGAGCTTTGGAGAACACTCTTCCCTACCTCTCCTCCTCCATCTCCCAATCTAAGGCTGAGGCTGACATCAATGTCCTTCTCTTTTTCTTAGGCCGGATCCTGGACCTGAAGACAGGGACAGTCAAGAAGGAAGGGCAGCAGTCATCCATGAGGATGTGCATGGGCTCACGGCGCTCCTTCATCTGCAGAATGAGGTCCGTTTGGGGCAACAGAGGGCTATCACTGTGGTGGTTTTGCTCCTTTCTGATCTACATTAAAACTCTTGACTAATCACCAGGAACAGTGTCACACACCTATAATCCCAGCAACTTGGAAGGCTGAGGCAGGAGGATAGTGAGTTCAAAGCCAACCTCAGCAACTTAGCGAGGACTTAAGCAACTTAGTGAGACCCTGTCTCAAAATGAAATATAAAAAGGGCTGGGCATGTGATGCAGTGGTAAATAGCCCTAGGTTCAGTCCCCAGTCCCAAAAAGGGGGAAAAAAAAAGCCCTTGATTAATTCTGCAAAGATCATACATGCTGATTTGGTTTCCTTCCAATGACTTCATCTTCTCCTCCTGAGCCCAGGAATATACAGACTCCCTGATCTGTGTTGCATCCCTCTTTGTCTGGTTTTTTACTATCTTCTGTCTCTTCTTAGATTCATGACCCCTCTTGCCTGTATGTTTTAACTTTCTACCCATTCTTCATGATCTTTCTCAAATCCAGCCTCTCCAAGGTTCCATATTTCTCAACATGTGTATTAAAACCATCAACTCCCCAGTTTCTCTTATATCTCCTGTGACAACTCATACGTTTTTATTGATCTCTAATATATCTGTCAGATTGTTGATTGATACTCTATTTTTTAAATATCTTAGCTTCATAAATCAGTTATATGCCCTGATGAGCACCCATCCTCCCCATCAAGCTGCCTGACCTGGGGGATATTCTAGTTCTCAGGTCTGGCACTTTGATTTATACCTCTTTGCGCCTCTCTGACATCTTTCAGAATGTTCTGTACATGCAGTTATCCTTCATGTTCATGGCAATTGGTTCCAGGACCACTTACCAATACCATAATCCACAGAACTCAAGACCCATATTTCAAATACCATATATAGTATTTGCATTTAATCTGCGTGTATCCTCTCATGCATAAGTCATCTCTAGATTATTTATAATTAATGAGTGTGATGCTGATGCCATTCATTCATTCATTCATCCAACAAATTTATGCAGAGGGACACCCTATGCTGGGGCTTCCTATGGTATGGGAAGCCAGTGTTAACTAAAGCATATGGACCTGCTTAATACTTATTTTCATGGGAATGTACCCAATAGACAAAAGAACCATGTTAGTATATGTGTCAGATGGTGGTGAAAAACACCATCAGCATAATGGAGGAAAAAAGGCAAATTTGGGGAGTGGAAATAGTAGGCCTTGCTAGTCTACCTGTTGTATAGGGTGAGTAGGGGCAGGCCTTATTGATCAGGTAACATTTGAGTAGGGACCCAAAGAAAGTGAATGAATAAGACATGGAATATCTGGGCAAAGAGGACAACTGATAGAGGGCTAAGCCCGTGCAAACACACTGAAGCTAGATTATTCTTGCGTGTTCAAGGAACACTAAGGAGATTACTATGTCAGAAGTAGGTAATAGGGGAGAGTCATGGTGAGAGATGACAGATGTTGGGTCATGTTGATCTCAAAAGATTTTAGCTTTGACTCTAAATGAGATGGGAGGTTATTAGAGTTTGAGTATAAGAGTCAAATGTTCTGAATGACATTTTAAAAATTGCTCTGGCTTTGTGTGGAGAATAAGCCTGCAGGGGAGAAGGCTAGAAGCAGAGACTACTGTAATGATTCAGTTGAGAATAGTGATTGTAGTAAGCAGTGCTCAGCTTTGAACATATTTTAGAGATAAAGCCAGACTGCAGGTAAGTTATGAGAATATGAGAGAAGTCTGAAATGTTTACCTGCCAAGTTGGAAAAATGGAGCTGCCATTTACTAAGATGGGAGAGACAATTAGGGGAACTGGTTTTGGATAGAGGGCAAATGTCAGCCCTTGAAAGATCAAGATGCATGTCAGACAGCTAAATGGAGAAGATGACTAGGCAGTTGGACATGTCATTCTGGAATCCAAAGGAGGAGCTGAAGATAATGTGCTTGGGGATTTTTGAGATGATATTGGAAGCCACAAGAATAAAATGGCATGAGGTCACCTGGAAAGTGTGTGTCGACAGGAGATCGGGGGACTGTTCCTGTGCACTCCTACACCAGGGAGGTAAAGGAGAGCCCACAAAGGAGACTTGGGGCACTGAGGCAGGTTGGGGACAAAGAGGGCCAAGGAAGTTTCTAGAGAAAGACTGCCAAATTCTGCCAATGAGTTCTAAATAATAAAAGGAGAAACAGCAGGAGCTGGAGCTGTAGGAAGGTGAGCAAGGCTGATCTTGGCTGCCTTCTCCAGAGTAGGCACCTACCCAGCCATCCCTGGTACACGATCTCGTGAGCAGGCTCTTCCTTAGCACCTCTTCTGACAAGACTGCCTGATTCTACACCCTTCCTGGGCTAGCCCCCTATCCCTGCACTATCTGATCACCCATCCTCCCCATCAAGCTGCCTGACCCTGGGGATATTCTAGTTCTCGGGTCTGGCACCATGGAGCCCTCACTAATGTCATTCTTACCCAATTCTTTGCTGCTGGAACCATGACTTGCCACTTGCACATTTGGTGGGTACCATGAAGATGCTTTAAAAGAATTAAATAGTTTCTCTTTTTTTGTACTGGGGATTGAACCCAGAGACACTACCACTGAGCTACATCCCCAACCCTTTTTACTTTTTATTTTCAGATATTGTCTTGCTAAGTTGCCAAGGGTCTTGCCAAGTTGCTGATCTGGCCTCAAACTTGTGATCCTCCTTCCTCAGCCTACTGAATGACTGGAATTTCAGTCCTGTGCCATCACACACAGCTTGAAATATAAATTCTTCAATGCATCATCCAAGCAATGCCCTTCTGAATTAATTGCTTGGAAGTACCATAGTGTGCCATTTGTATAGTAGCCCACAATGCCATTACCAATGCCCTTTCAACCAGATTCCTACAGTCCCCTGCCTGCCTTGGCATGCCTCTGGGTGCTTTTTGAAGTGCCAGGCTATACTGCCTGGATGGACCTGAGAAGTAGGCTACATTGCTGTTTTCTGAAAGTATAATTTCTCCTCCAAATAAAACAACTTAATTTCAGCAAGACACAGGGCAAAGTCTACCAGTAAAGGGCAGAGGACCATGCTGGCATCCCTGGGAAGCACTGTCATGGATTGATCCTGCTGTGAAATCCGCATTAATTCTGGCAGCTGTCCAAGGTCTCAGAGTATAATTGGGCTCTCATCTTTGCTATGTTGAAAATTAAGACATCAGGATGTTAATTGCCTTGCGGTTGGGAAGTAGAAGTGCATATATTCAGTGAGTATGCCAAGCAGTGGTCAGAACCTGGCCACAGTCCAGGCCTTGGATGTTTGATGCCTAGATATTGAGAGGATTATAGAGAAGAGAGGCAGGAAAGGACCTACCAGAGTGGGTAGTGTGATGCCTCACATTTCCTGGCTCCCAAACAGGGACCCATAGAAAGACCTGATACTATACCTGTTGGCCCCTTGCTCTCACTCACCCCTGCCTCAGCAGGCTTCCAGCTGTATAGTTAGAGCCAAAACATTACAGGGAAAGAGAGAGAGTTTCTACAGCTGTGATGCTAAAGCCTGAGAAGATGCTACTGTTCATCAACTGGCAACATCTGTTTCCAGTTGCTGTGTCTGCTCAGGGCTAAAGAGGCACTGCTACTGTCATCACCCACTTCTCTCATTTTCCTTGAAGCCACCCGGTTCCACTGCAGTGATCTGGTGGAACTTAGCATGGCTGTGTTTCTCCAAGAGTCTTTTACAGGTTTCTAGCTCTGGGCTGGGCCCTGAAACTCTTTCCATGTATATTGCAAAGTGAGTCACACTCTCCTTCCTCTGGTGACAATCAAAAATACAAAGGCATGCTAGCCTGCTTCTCCACTTTGGAAGGAAACTGGTCACAGGTTTCATCTGAGTAAATATATAAGTGTCAATTGAGGGCCATGTATTTGACAGCAACATTATATTCTTTAAAAACATATTTGGGTCTTCACTCATTCTAACACATTTATCAAATCTTAGATGTGGAAATGCTCCTTTGGACCACCTTCCTCTTAACAGAATAACCACCATGAGGAAAAGATTCAGGTCAGTATCCCTTTCTGACGTATATATTGAGGTTGTTCTGGCAGATAGCTTCAATATCCTAAGCTGAGGAGTAGCCCAGCTTTAAAAGAGGTCTGTCTGAGTATAGAGAGGACCAAGAGACAGTGGCTGAAATGTGAAGTGGGAGTTGGTGGAATTCATTTGGAACTGTCATACCACACAGAAGGAGGGAAAAGAGGGTGGTGGGAAGTTGAGATTCAAGGTCATAAAGATAGTCAAGGGAACCCAATAGCTTAGATGCCAAAGCAGTCATTGACACCCTTGCCTCAGTCACATGTGATAACAATAATTTCACAAATGTTCTTTCTTTAGGAATGGCCTTGGCCCTGTAAAAGAAGGAGAAGCCCAGTATGCAGTGGTCCACTGCACAGGATACATAAAGGCTTGGCCACCAGCAGGTGAGCTTAGCTGCAAATGCAATCCAAGTGTGTATTCACTACCATTAACATGGTATCCTGAGAGGAACATATTCTTAGAGGCAGAGGCAGGACAATCTTATTCTCCTTTATAGTTAGAATATAGTGGTCTTTGTCATTGGAAAAAAAACTTCTATCTGAATCAGAGATTTCCAGAAAGAGCTCATTCTACAGAAGTCATCAGAGAGAGCCATTACAACTCATTTCTAGGTTCTGTCACCCACAGCCTTCTGTAAAGTCTGAGTGCCAAATTGAATTCCAAGTCATCAGAAAAGTGGCAAATCAAAACTCAAGAGTAGGGGCTGGGGATGTGGCTCAAGCGGTAGCGTGCTCACCTGGCATACGTGCAGCCCGGGTTCGATCCTCAGCACAACATACAAACAAAGATGTTGTGTCCGCCGAAAACTAAAAAATAAATATTAAAAATTCTCTCTCTCTCTCTCTCTCCTCTCTCACTCTCTCTTAAAAAAAAAAAACCCAAGAGTACTCTTACACTCATTAGGATGATTAAAATAAAAGGTAATAACAATTGGTGTGGATGTGGAGCAATTGGACCCTCGTACATTGTTGGTGAGAATGTAAAATGGTGCAGCCACTTGGAAAAAGAGTCCGACAGTTCCTCAAAATGGTAAACAGAATTATCAGATGATTCTCAGTTTCACTCCTAGATATCAGTCCAAAAGAATTGAAGACCTATGTCTTCAAAGAAATGTATACGTGAGTGTTCATAGCAGCAGCAGCATCATAATGTTCAAAACAATGGAAAGATTTGAATGTGTGCTAACAGGTAAGTAGATAAATAAAATGTGGTCTATCCTACAATGGAATATAAAACAGCCATGAAAAGCAGTGAAGTACTGATACGTGGTTTGTTAACAAACTTTGAAATTATCATGCTAAGTGAAAGTGTCTAGACAAAAAGGCCACATGTTGTATGATCTCACTTAAACCAAAATGTCCAAAACAGGCAAATTGATCAAGATAGAAAGTAGATTTCAGGGAGAAAAGACAAGGCATGACTGTGAAAGGGCACAGTAGTTTGGGGGGGAGTACTAGAAGTGTTCTAAAATTAGATAGTAGTGATAGTTTCACAACTTTGTAAATATACTAAAAACTACTGAATTGTACACTTTAAGATGGTAAATTTTTTGGTATATGAATTGTATCTTGATACATTGTATATGGTGGTGGGCTGCTGGGATCAAACCAAGAGTCTTATGCATGTTAAACAAATACTCTACCACTGAACTATACACCCAGCCCAATAATTGTTCTTAAACAAGAGTATATACAAGTCAGACCATGTGTACTGTATACAGTACACTTCAGTGAATGTTTCATTTAGCTTGAGAACAATGTATATTCTGTAGTTGTTGGATGGAGTGTTTTCTAAACGTCAATTGCATCAAGTTGATTGATAGTGCTGTTAAGGGCAATTATATCCAGATTGATTTTTTTTTTTTTTGCCTGCTTGATTTATCAGTTATTGAAAGAAGAGGGTTGAAGTCTCCAATTGTGATAGAGTATTTACTTATTTCTTCTTGTATTCTATCAGTTTTTGCCTCACATACTTTGATGCTCTGTTTTTTTGGTGCACATATACTAAGGATTATTACGTATTTGGGGGAGATTTTTCCCCTTTTATGTAACGCCCTTCTCCATCACTGTACTTTTCCTTGCTCTCAATTCTACTTTGCCTGAAATCAATATAGTTTCTCTAGCTTTCTTTTGATTAGAGTCAACCTAAGTGTGTTTTTATATTTAAAGTGGGTTCCTTACGAACAGTATACTTGTATCTAATTTTTTTAATCCACTCTCACAATCTGCCTTTTGACTGGTGTATTTAGACCATCACATTCAACATGATCATTTATATAGTTTCATTAATAGTTGCCATGTTTCCTGTTCATTACATTTGTTCTTTGTTTCTCCCCCCACCCCCCGCTTTTCCTGCCTTTTCTTGGAGCATTTTGTATTTCATTTTCTTTCCTCTTAACATGTTATATTGCTTTCAAAATGTTTTCATTATTTGTCCCAAGTTTGAAGTACACATTTATAATTAATATGAGTCCACATTCAAATAATGTTATGATTCATGGTAACACAGACACCTGCTAACAGAGCACCCCACCCCTTCCCATCCCTGATGATGTTGCTTTCATCCCTTCACTTGTCTTTGTCATCACACAGGACATTTTTACCATTGTTCCTTTGAACAGAGACCTATTAAATTAGTTAAGAATAATAAAAATGAAAAGTTTTATTTTACTGTCATTTATTTCTCACCAATGTTCTTCTTCCCTTCTTAATATAGACCTGAGCCTCTAACCTACATCATTTCCTTCTTTCTGATGAAATTATTTACTCATCTATTTATATATCTATCTATTTATTTATTTATTTATGCTGGGAGTTTTAAAATTTATCTGTTCTTTTTCTTATACATGACAGTAGAATGTATTTTAACATATAATACATATATGGGGTACAACTTCCCATAATTCTGCTTATACATGATGTACAATTACATTGGTCATATATTCATATATGAACATATGAACATTTCCCCTCCTTCCCTTTATTCTCTTTTGTCTAATCCAATGAACTTCTATTCTTCTCTATCCCCTTCTTATGGCAAGTTAGCATCTGCATATCAGAGAACATTCAGCCTTTGGTTTTTTGGGGATTGGCTTATTTCACTTTGCATGATAGTCTCCAGTTTCATCTATTTACTGGAAAATACCATAATTTCATTTCTCTTTATGGCTGAGTAATATTTCATTGTGTATATATACCACATTTTCTTTATCCATTCATCTGTTGAAAGGTACTTAGTTTGGTTCCATAGTTTAGCTATTGGGAATTGAGCTGCTATAAACATTGATATGGCTGTGTCATTATGGTATGCTGATGTTAAGTATTTTGGGTGCATACCAAGGAATGGGATAATGGGTCAAATGGTAATTCCATTCCAAGTTTTCTGAAGGATCTCCATACTTGTTTCCACAGTGGTTGCACCAATTTGCAGTCCCACTAGCAATATGTGAGTGTACCTTTTTCCCCACATTCTCACCAATATTAATTGTTACTTATGTTCTTGATAATTGCCATTCTGACTGGAGTGAAGTGAAATTTTAATTTGTATTTCTCTAACTGCTAGAGATGTTGAACATTTTTTCATATATTTGTTGACCAATTGTATTTCTTATTCTGTGAAATGCCTATTCACTTCCTTTGCCCATTTATTGAATAGGTTATTTGGGGGGTTTTTTTGTTGTTGTTATTGTTTTGTTTTGTTTTTGGCGGGGATTGTGTGTGTGCATGTGTGTGTGTTAAGTTTTTTGAGTTCTTTAAATTGATTTTATCCCCCCTCACCCCCCCTAGCCATGTTTGGGATACTGATGGGTCTATCAAAATTGTTCTTCATTTTCTCTATTAAAGAACTGCTCTAAGGTGCAGGTGGCAAAGATTTTCTCCCAATCTGTAGGCTCTCTCTTCACATTCTTGATTGTTTCCCTGTTATATTAAAAAGCTTTTTAGTTTACTTGACCACTGAGCCACATCCCTACCCTTTGTTTTTGTTTTTGTTTTTGAAACAAGATTTTGCTAAGTTGCTGAGAGCCTCACTAAGTTTCTGAGACTGGCTTTGAACTTGCAGTCTTCTAGCCTCAGCCTCCTGAATCACTGGAATTACAGACATGCACCACAATGCCTGGCTGAACAACTTATTTTAATATTTCTTGCAGAGCAGGTTTACTGTTATAAAATCTCTGGTTTTGTTCTTTGTAGAAAGCTTGCTTTCTTAGAATTTGATGGAAAAATTTACTGGATATAGAATTCTATGTTGGCAGTTACTTTCTTTCAACATTTTAAATATTTCACTCCACTCTCTTCTTGTTTGCATGGTTGCTTATGAGAAGTCAGCATAAATCTTATTCTTGTTGTTCTCTGATTAGTAGTGTGAGTTGTTGTTTTTTGTTTTTTGTTTTTTTCCTGGCTCTTAAAAGATTTTCTCCCTATATCTGGTTTTCAGCAATTTCACTATGGTATACCTGAGTGTAGAATTCTTTTTATGCTGCTTGGTGTTCTCCAAGCTTCCTGGATTTGTGCTTTGGTGTCTGTCATTAATTGAGGAAAATTCTTGGACACTATTTCTTTAAATATTTATTCTGATGTGATTCTGCTATCTGTATTTGGGGTAGAAATGGGAGTTCAAAACCCAATGGAGTCAAATGTATGAAAGATGATTTATCAAGAGCTCTGTAATGTTTGGAACAATCAATAAAAAAAAGAAAAAAAATAATAATAAAACATCTGCCCTTAGCCCTAACTTAACAATATTTAAAATGTCAATGATCTAAATATACCATTTGAAAGAGAAAAAAAAAAAAATATATATATATATATATATATATTCTGCCTTTTCTCTTTCTAATTTAAGTTTTCAAATTGTGCATGTTATAAACTTGAAATTGTACCACAGGTTTCAGATATTCATTCATTCATTTCTTTCTTTCTTTCTTTCTTTCTTCCTATTGGTATTTTAGTTTGGGTAGCCTCAAAATGATATATTTTCAGGTTAATTGATTTTATCCCCCCTCACCCCCCTAGCCATGTTTGGGATACTGATGGGTCTATCAAAGTTGTTCTTCATTTTCTCTGTAGTGTTTTTAATTTCTAGCATTTTCTCATCATTATTTCTTAGAATCTCCATCTCTGCTTGCCTTATCCATTTTTTTTAACATAGTGTCTACTTTCCCCATTAGAGTTATTAATTTACTAATCATGATTATTTTAAATTCCCCATCTCGTTTTCAAAAACTGTCACATCCAAGTCTGCTTTTACTCTTTCTTTGTCCCTTCAGACTGTTGTTCTTGCCTTTTAGTGTGACTTCTGATTCTTTGTTGCAAGCCAAAATATATCAGGTAATAAGAACTAAGGTAAATGGGCCTTTTGTGTAAAGTTTTATATTAATCTTGCT